CCACATCCCGTGCATCGCAAGCCCCCATCCTGCCACCCACCAAGCCCGCGTCGCAATCGCAGCCGTCGCTGCCACCGGTGCCCAAATCGCAAATCGAACAGATCAAGCAGTACCCCGCGCACCCGCTGCTCCAGTTCTTCCGCACACGTCCCTACGAGATCAGCGACAAGGCGCTCGGCGGCACGGCGGCGTACGAGGAGGCGAGCGGCGACGCGGTCTCGGGGTCCAAGTTCTACGTCAGGCTGCCGCACGCTGTGCACCAGTCGGACCTGGGCCGGGACGCTGATAGCAGGTCGTGGCTGGCGAGCGAGCTGCGTCTCAAGAGCTCGAAGGAGCTGCACACCCTGTGGTATGTGCTGCTGATGGAGCGCAACAGGCTCGCGACGGCGTGGGAGGAGCTCAACCGTATCGGCGCCAGACAGGCCGCGAGGATGTGGTCGGAGAACCTGGGTCGAAAGAACCACCGAGTAAGTTTGACTAGCTGACTGCAGTATGATGGTTGCGCACACGATGCTGACTCGTGACCGCTTTATTTTCCGCCATCCGACAGGTCCGCAAATCCATGGCTCGCATCAAGTTTGTCCTCAACGAACGCCGTCTCGCGCTCATCGAGGCACAGAAGCAGGTGCGAGAGGCTGTGCCCGCTCCGAAGCCCGGTCAGGGCGGCAGCCTCTTTGAGTAGTCCGCAGCCTGCTTCCGCCCAGTCGCGAGCATCAACCTCTGTCTTGTCGCACATCCCACCCACATGTAACAGTATCTTGATCCAATCCATCTTTGAAAGCACCAGAATCAGACTCGGGTCGTGTCTCGAGGAAGAGACCGCTTCATGACGTGGCGTGACTGGGAAGCGACCTGGTGCTTTGCCCGTAGACTCTTGTTCACTCACCGTCGTGCTCAATCAAATCGCTCGCTGCTCTCCAAGGTTTCAACTCCTCAACCTCGAACACAGCCCACATCGCGCGCAGGTTGGGAACAGCATACATGTCGTTGGATGAATGACACCGCCTTCTTTCGATATTTCGGGGTGTGTGTGTAGTTTTTTGGGGGGAGAAACAAGCCTCGACGCTAGACTTAGCGAGTAAGACCTGCGCAAGCGAGGGTGAGAAAAGAAACGTGGTTGATGGTACAATTGCAGGTCGTATGAAGATGATGCCGATGCAGTGATGGGGTGATTTTTGGGCATGGAGAAGCAGTCGAGATCACCGCATCAGCATTGGGCGGCCGTGAAAGATGCTGTCGACTTCGAAAGAAGGGGCGAAAGCTCGTCGACAACACTGCAGTGGCCGAAATGCTGGATGCGAAACCACGAGTGCGGGTCCATGATGAAAGAACAACTGCTGCAAGGCGGGACAGCGGGCAAGAGGCAAGGATGGTATGGTGCAGATGGGAGAGCAAAGCACGTTTACTTCTTCTTGGCAGCCTCGCTGGCCTTGGTCTTCTTGGTACCACGGACCTTCTTGGCACGGTTCTTGCGCTCCTTGCGCAGCTTTCGCGAGGCCTTCTCGGTCTTCTCGGCGAGGCCGACCTGTTGTGGTAGGATTGGAGTAAGGGGGTCAAAGGGTCAGTATGATTGTCGCCTGAGAATGATGACTGTTGCGACTACAATCCATGGCAGCGTGCTGATGCGAACATCCGATGCTCTTCCTAGGATCGTCGTTTCGCAAAAAAATACTCACGCGGACAAGGCGGTGCTTGGGCTCGAACTTCATCGAGTCGCGCGAGTCGTAGATGAGGGCAAAGCCGGTGGAGCGTCCACCACCGAAAGCGGTGCGCATGCCAAAGACGATGCACTGCTCCTTGGGGGTCTTGTACATCTCCGAGAGCTTCTCCGAGAGCTCAGCCTTGGAGACGTTGGCGCGCGCAGGGTGGATGACATCGAGAACCATCTGCTTCCTCTGGAGCAGACGGTTGGTGATGAACTTGCGAGTTCGGAGGGTGACGGGAGAAGTGGAGTCCTGTCGAGGTTGGGATATGCGTTGTGCAAGGTGCCAGAGACATGGTTAGTACATTGCAATGTTGGGCAAAAAGAGTGTCGATGCGCGACCCATGGCCACGAGCCAGATCATTGTCGACAGTCTAACGCTGCTGCTGCTGTGTTGGGTGTTGGCGTTCGGAGTTCTTTCGTGTGGTGTGAGTTGGCGAGTGATGAGGAAGAGCAACGACGTCCGAGGAAAGGCGAACAAAATTGAACCGCATCTTTGCTGCGCCGAACAGGTTCGATCGAATGCGTCGGCTTCTGGCAAGAGCTCCTCTGATGGTCTCTACGACCCCTAGCCAAAGTCGAACTGGCTCCAAGAAGATCGGTGCTGGAGCTCCCTCCCATTCGCCCGACGTACGAAGTGACCGATGTAACGCCTTCGTGAACTCCTTTGTCGAAACAAGTGGTCATCTTCGTGCATGTGTGAGACACCATCACGGATTCGTGCAGGTTCGAGTCACATCCAGCATCCGAAGAGGTGTGGCGACGCTGTTTATGCCACTTTCCAATCTACCGTTGCCAGAACCGCCCCTTACGTCTGCCAATCCATCGGCCTCGTTCGCGAATCCACCAAGTGCCTTCTGAATCTGCATGTCGCTGCCAAGAATGCTAAGATGGGCCGAGCTGTAAGGACGCGATGATGCCGACTGAAGGCTGCTGCTGTGTCGTCGACGAAATCTTCGATGCAAATGTCGATCCATATCGTGGTCGATGTACGGACTTGCTCCGGTGTCGCATTCTCTACGTGCTGTGGTCGGTATGCGGTGCTTCGGTGCGTGGGTCGGAATGCTAGCAGCAGCGTCGGACTGTCGTATGATCTGGGCTGGCGAAGGTGTGTCGGGGTTGCATCAACGGTAAGGGCGTACTCACCATCTTGACGAATTCTTGGTGGTAGCAAGGAAGAGGTAAGGATCGTGTCGAGCTCAACCTAGCAGCAAACAGCGCTCACTCGCTCTCACCGCCTCACCAACGCACACTTGCAACTCGCTCTCAGTAGCAGCCTCAGTCTCAGCCGGTGTCGACTCTCGCTGCCATTCGCTCTCCAACTGACCTTCGCGCTCTCTGGCTGGAGACTTCGAATCGCTGGATTGCGGCCTCGAGTGCTTCTTCTCAGACTCTCTCTCTGCTGGCTGGTAAGCAGCTCCGTCTTGATGGTCGCTGCGATCCACAGGCACAAAACCAGCAGCGAGGGAAGGACGATTTCAAAATTCTTGCAATTCGTATCGAGTTGAAGTTCGAACTACAAAACTGTATTTCTCACAACTCGTATTCAGCCGTGAAGAGGGGACGCAAGGACGAAAATCGTCTGCCAAATTTTGGAGGGCGTGGGAATTTTTTCGCTCTACCTACAAACCAACGAGAAAGTCGAGAATCACAATCGCTCAAGTTCGATCGGGCATTTCCTCTCCAGTCCACGTCGATGAGATCTTGCCTTCAACTCGGGTCTCGGCGAGCGATTTCTCCTCCACAGTTCTCCGCATGCACAAGTCGACAGACAGCCTTGGGACTCGTGCAGCTGCTGGAGCAAAACCATGCTTCGCCTCATCCCACAACACGATACGGCTCAGCCCTCGGCAGGACGATGAGCGCGGCGCTCGCTAGCCTCTCGCAGTATGCCGACTCGGACTCTGACGACGAGACTGTAGCCAAGACGCAGCCATTGGCAACAGATCGCACCGGGCAGCCTCCACACGGGACTGAGGTAGAAGCTGCCGCTGCGCCGAAGCGACCCAAGAGGTGAGCTTTGCTTTGTCCTATCGTGTGCTCAACTGAGACTGATTGCTAGAATGCTGTGTGTCGCATGAACAGGAAGCTGCCGCCTCTCGACCTCGAAGCAGATGCGCTGTCAAACGAAAGGCTGTCCCGCTCGTCGAGCCCAGCACGTGCCATTGGCAACAGTACCGGTAAGGTCGTGAAAGGGGACTGGCTTTGCTACTGCTTTGTCGAAGGTGAGTCGAGCTTCATCTGCTGCAATCTGAGGAGTGGTGGTGTCGGACATTGACTCGCGTCCCGTTGATTGCCAGTTCTGGTCGATCCGTCTTTGGGCAGGTGTATACAAGACAGCCATGCGCACCTACAGGAGCAACTCGGGACGGAACACACCCTACTCGACCTGCGACACTCCGACCATCCCATCAATGACGAAGGAGCTTCAGCAGCAAACCCATCGCCGTCGTCCCAAGGGCAGCTCCACATCTCCTTGACCCGGCCGTTCACGGTGCGGAGCTACGAACGCGACGAGTACGTCAAGGTGGCCACAGCCGAGGTGCAGAGGCTGAAAGCGACCGTTGGAAGGTGGGTCCCGCCAAACCCCTTTGCCACATACCACGACTCGGATACTGACCCATCCGATGCGCTCTGCATCTTTGCGACGCCTCCAGTTTCCCATTTACCTTTTCGAGGATCGCCTATCTGGCCAACGACGATGCTTCGAGGCACTTTATGGTGCTCGAGGTCGGTGCTGGGTGTGACAAGGTGAGTCATAGTCCGAACTTTGGAGATCTCCTACACATGACTGCTCATCTGAACTAATCGTTTCGCTCAATTCTCTCGTCGCATCAGTTCCACCGCCTATCCACAGCACTGAGCACCGAGCTGCGACGCGCATTTCGCGCCAAGGCGTACTACGACGAAGCACGGTTCCACGCGAGCACCGCATGTGTGCTAGACTCAACTCCAGATCAGAGTGACCATGCTACACAGGCACTCGCGTCGCGCTTCAGCACCATCGTCGCCGACATCGAAGCCGAGCACGGGCCCCGACTCCGCCAGTGCCGCCCAGTGTGGGCGACTCGCATCGGCATCCAAGTCGCCAATAGAGTGTCCTACGTAGATCTCTGACACTCAAATATGCACAATATACCCGCGAAACTGCAGACGGGCTGATGAGGGAGAGGATCGTCCGAGTCAATGATGTCCTGCACAAGAAGAAACCGTCGTGCAGCGAGCAAGTTGCTAGTCCAATGGGCGACGTCATGCAGCAAATATGTACGCAACCGAATTCTCGGCTAACACAAACATGTCCGAATTAGTTTAGTGGCTATGACGGCGCCTTGTCATTTATTTGACGTTGTTCTTCGCGCAGAAACGGCGCAGACCCGGGTTCAATTCCCGGATTCGGAGAGCTTGCAAAGCATTTCTTTTTTGGCCCTTTTTTGTGAACCCCTTTTTTACGCTCGAGTATTTTTGCCTTTGCGACGGTCAAGTTTGATGAAAGGAAAAAGGTCGCTCAACCAGCCTGAACGAGAGCTGTGCCCGCCTCACTTGAGCGGAACAGACACATCACACAAGCGGCACGACGGCGCCCACGAGGATTGCAAAAGGAGATGGTATTGGCTAGCATAGCCTCGATGGTATGTGTGCAGCAAACAAAGATTAAGCGAGAAGGGCAAGGGAGAAAAACGACAGTGGGGGACTAGCAAAGAGCAACGAGATGCAAGGAAAGTGGAGCAAGCAAGCAAGGGAGCAAGCAAGCAAGCAAGCAAGCCACCGCCATCAACTCTGCGGCAAGGGGCCGGTCGGTCGCGTCTGCGCATACAGCATCTGCATCGTCTTGTCGTCCGTGGCCGGAACGTTGATCGACGCTGCGATCGACGAGAAGGGCGGCAGCGTGGTGCCGTGACCGCCATTGCCCGTCGGAACGTGGAAGATCGGGTTGATGTGGTGCTGGTGCACGTGCTGCTGCGGATGGCCTGCATTGCCATAGAACGCTGGCGGCACAGAACCGTCGCCGCCCGTGTCGCTTCGCTGTGCTGCGCCGCCGCCGCCTTGATGCAAGCTCTGATGCAGCGGTGGCAGTTGATAGTTGGGATGGTAGCCTGTCGAAGAGGGCGTTACAGGTCCGCCGTGCGAGTACGGATGGAAGCGCGGAATGCCGCTAGCGTGATGCAACGGCGAGGCTGAGCCCTGCCTGTGCGCCGACGTCGACGAGGCTCGGCTGTTGGTTCGGCTCTGGCGGCTGAGCGACTGGCGCGCTCCAACAAGGTGGGCCGGACCCGGCGACACGTTGCCCGGCGTACGCGTGCGAGCCTCTGCAGCCGTCATTTTTTCCATGTTGGTGATGAGCTGGTGATCGAGCGAGCTGATGGAGCGCGTCTCTGCCGAGCTGCGATGCGACTCGAGCGAAGGCGCAAATCGGCGTTGGTCGATCAGAGACGGCGCAGAGGCAAGCGAAGACGACGAACTGGCTCTTTGAACGTGGTGTGCGTGTGCCGCCTGCTGACCTGTGCCTGGACCCGGATCGCTGTCGCCCGTCTGGTAGGACTGCATCGAAGCCCTGCGCGGATCCACCGCATCCTCGAAGCTCGACATGGAGTGGTCATCGTCATGCTCGCGTCTGCGCGCCTTGTTGGAGCGACTGTATCGGCCCGCGCCCACGCCGCGCCAGGCCATGCTACCCGCCACGGCCGGATTGGGGTTCATGCCATAGTCGGGGCTGAGGCCATGGATGGGAGGCTGGAGGGGCGAACGAGGGAACTCGCCCGAGGCAAAGCTGGGCATGGACGGGGAGAGCTGCGAGCTGGGAATGGCGGGCTGCTTGCCGCGTGCCTTTTCGCTGGGTCCCTGTCGATACGAGTCTTCTGCCTGCATGGTGGCGCCCGAGAGCCATTCGACCGGATCCTTGCTGTTGGAAGAGGCCAAGAGCTGGTTGCGCTTCTGCATGACCGCACGAGCTCGGTCGCGGGCGGCCTTCTGCTGTGCCTCTCGTCTGGCCTTTTCGGCCTCGCGCGCCGCCTTTTCGGCTTCCTTTTTGGCTTTCTTAGAGTCCACCGGCTTGGCAGGCGCGCCGTTGGGCGACGCTGTCGAGGCTGCATTCGTGTGCTCGGCGGCGATGCGCTGTGCGGGCGTCGGCTCCATGGACGATCCAAGCTCTGGCGCCGATCCGTTGGCGGCCATGTGGACGCCGGCCATGCCGTTGGGAGCCCCGCGGACGGCTGCAGCGTTTGCAGCAGCGTACGGGTGACTCGCATTCGGTTGTGCTCCCCCACTGCCGCTTCCGGCCAGAGTACCGCTGCTGCCGCTGCTTCCAAACACGGATGAGATGTTGAGACCCCACGCTTTGCTCCTGCGCCGCTCCTTGTCGCGCGAGCCGATGGTCTCGTTGCTGGCGTTCGAGTCGTTCTTTTGCGAAAGCTCTCCGGAAGAGGCGGCGGCTGGCAACTGTCCCTGCATGGCCGTGCTATAAGGCGCGGCGAACGGCACAAAGGCACCGGAGAGGAGCGAAGCGTCTCGATCGTAGACAGCAGCGCCGTGGCCATCGTAGCCGGGGCTTTGTGTCGGATGGGCGTCGTGACGGTACTGGCGCTGATACTGTTCGTATTGGTGGGCTTGCAACGCGTGCGCGTGGCGAGGGTCACCGTGCTTGAGCGTCGACTCGGTAACCTGGCCATCTGACATCGCCATAGATGCGTTGCCCAGGACGACGGTGGCGTCCGACGAGGGCGCACCGGACGAAGGAGCGTCGTGATGCGCCGAGCTGCTTGGCGCGTACACGGATGCCGAATCTGGAAAGGCAGGATAGCCGGACAGCGAGGCGTCTCTGCTGGTCGAGGCGACGGGCGGGGCCCATTGCATTTCGGCGGCGTCCTCGTGCATCGGTGATGCGAGTGAAGCCACCGTGTTGGCAGAGGCGGAATTCGTGCTTGGACTGCCGGCGACCACGACCGGAGGGCGGCTGCCGTTGACCACGACGAGCGGAGAGCCATCTGCTTGGCGGAGCATAGCCAACGGCTTGAGATTGGCGTCGGCTGCTCCAAAGGGCGGTCTGTTGGCATGCGCAGAGAGGGGTGTCGAGTGCGATGGCGGCACGGGACGCGCCGCGTTCTGCTGCGGACGCAGCGGAGCCGTGGCGCTGACGAGCGGTTTTGCTTGCGGTGGCCGCAAGCGCGGAGCATCTAGGCGCATGTAGGCGTGCTCGATGCAGCCTTTGCTGGTGAGTCTCGCCTTGGGATCGTAGCGCAAAAGGTCCTCGATGCAATCCACCAGGTTCTGCGGCACGCGATCCGAAAAGAGTCGAGAGAATTTGACAGGTTTGCGGATGGGGAATGTGAATCCGACGGCGCGAGCCATGCGGATGCCTCTATCCCATGGACCGCCACCGTTGCGCCTCGAGCGTGAGTCGTGGCCGTAGCTGTGGCTTGGGTCGCCGAGGATGTCGCAGATCTGGAGCACCTGGTCGACTTCGCTGTGGCCGGGGAAGAGAGGCTTGAGGTTGACGAGCTCGGCGAGGATGGTGCCGAGCGCCCACATGTCGACGGGGTTGCTGTAGTCGCGCGAGCGGAGGAGCACTTCGGGAGCACGGTACCAGCGTGTGGAGACGTATTCGGTGTACGGCGGTTTGCTGAGGGTCTCGCGAGCCAGACCGAAATCGGCGAGCTTGACAATGACGAGGACATCCCTCTCTGGCGGCAAGGAGGGCTGGAAGTTGGGATAGTCTGCAAGGCCGGTGGTGGTGATGAGGAGGTTCTCGGGCTTCATGTCGCGGTGAAAGTAGCCGTGCTGGTGGATGTGGTCGAGGCCGAGCACGATCTGTTTGTAGATGGAGGCGACCAAGCCAGCGGCGAGCGGACGGCCCTTGCGAGACTTTGTGAGCTGGTAGAGGTTGCCCTCCATGCACTCAAAGACAAAGTGGAGCTCCTTTGTGGTGGGCATGAGGAAGGCGTCGTAGAGCGGGATGAGGTTGGGATGCGGAGGTATTGTGAGGAGCGATTTGAGCTCCTTGAGCTTCATGCACTCTTGCCAGTTTGGGAAGGGCTTCTTCATCTTTTTGATGGCGACGAGACGCTTGCCGATGTATTCTGGACGGGTGGTGGGATGCTGCATGGGGGAGAGCATGGTGCCGCTGGGAAGCGGGCTCTTCCAGTCTGCGAGGCACACGGTGCCGAACGAGCCATCGCCGACGTCCTTGATGACGGTGAAGTCTCGCGGGCCTTCGCGCATGAGCGAGGCGGCTGTGGTGGGCATCTGGTCGTCTGGAGGGCGTAACGAGGTGGAAGCTGAGGCGTTGGAGTAGGAATTTGAAACGGAAGCGGAAGCGGATGCAGCTGCTGCGGCCATTTGGGCACTGTAAGGGCTGTTGGCACCATCTGACGGGCCCCTCGGGACGGTGGCGGCTTGCATGATGGCGGCGGGCAAGCGGGCCACTTGGTCGGGGAGACCGTGGTGACGATGCGGCAAGTCGTGGTGCGAAGGCGCAAGGATCGGCTTCGGGCTAGAAGCAACCTGTGCCATAGCTTACGTGCTGATACTACGCAAAGGCATGTTTCGAGCTTGCAGGCGTGATGGTGGAGATGCGAGCAAGGACAGCAGAAGGGTGCGCGCCGCCGATTCAGTGGTGGCGTAGCAGAAGATGCCGCTTCGACGATGATGGTGACAGCGAATGAGCTACTTGGGACGGAGCGCAGGATGACGAATCAAGCGACACTTGGCAGTCAAAACGGAACAGGTCGATAGTCGAGGGTCGGAATGTCCGCGAGGCAGTGCAAGCGCTGATCGGTTCCGTGTGCGCGCTTCAACGTCAGCTGCTGCAGATGGATCGGAAGGTGCGTGCGTGGTAGTGGAAGCGAGCGAGCCAAGTCACGCGCAGTCGCTGGTTGGGTTGCTGGTAGTGACAACTGAGTCGACGGAAGGGCCGAGCAACGTCGCGTCAGATGTGAGCTATTGCAGAAGGCTGGGAACACGACCAAGTGCAGGCGTAGAAGGTCAACAGGTGGGCGGCGTTTGGCACGGCGAAAACGAGAGTGTGCTGCAGCGCGTACGTCGAAAGCGAGACCGTAGTGGTGATCGTGGTCGTGATGGCTGCAAAGACGATCGTGACGGCGGAGACGGCGGTGACAGCGGATGAGATTGAGGAAAGGAGGAAAGAGAGAGCCGAAGCGAGCGAGCGAGGGTGAACCGACAGAATGGATGCAAGGGTGAAGGCGAATGAGAGAGAGAGAGAGCGAGAGAGGTGGATACTCAATGTCAACCAAAAGTGTGTGTGACTGCGAGAGTGATTGAGCGTTGAGGTGTGCCGTGTGGGTTGGGTGCGGGTGTGGGTGATGCGTGCGTGTGTGTGTGCGTGTGTGTGTGCGTGTGTGTGTGCGTGTGTGTGGGCGGGGCGGGGCGGGGCTTTGCGTGCCGGC